AGGCTGGTCTCGAATCTGTGAGCTCAGGCAATCCACCAGCCTTGGCCTCCTAGAGAGTGCTAAGATTACAGGCGTGAGCCACCATGCCTGGCCCTACCAATATGTTTTTTAAAAATCCATGTATAGATGTTTGAACTGTTAAGTTCAAACCCATGCTGTTCAAGGGTCAACTTACAATGTCTGGAACAAGACTGTCCATCCAAATTACTTGATAATGGAAGGGCTTCTATTTGTGCTGTCCAATAAAGCAGATAAAAGCTCTACTAAATACTTGAAAAGCGGCTAGTGAAACTAAGAAACTGAATTTTTAGTTCTATAAATTTTCATTAATTTAAGCTTAAATTTAGCCAAATACAATTAGTGGTTATAGTACTGGAGAGTACAAGTCTAGAAAATCATACAATGTCAGAATGTAACAATCCACTATTTTTAAGTGACATTTTATTTCTTTTACTTTGAGACAGACTTTCACTATGTCACCCTTGGTAGAGTGCTATGAGCACTCTTCACAGCTCACAGCAATCTCAAACTCTTGGGCTTAAGCAATTTTCTTGCCTCAGCCTCCCAAGTAGCTGGGACTACAGGCGCCAGCCAAACGCCTGGTTATTTTTTTGTTGTAGTTGTCACTGTTGTTTAGCTGGCCCAGGTGGGGTTCTAACCCACCAGCCCCGGTACCCTAACCACTGTGCCATGGGAACTGCGCCATAAAAAGCGTATTTTTGATATTTATATTAAGTCCAAGAATTTGAAGTGTTTCAGGAGAGCACATGCAAATAAAAAGGACTTTTTTGTAAATGAAATTTCCTCAATCTGAGATAAACTAGTAAAGAAGTATAGGAAATAGCATCACAACCACTAAAATTATGCACATAAGAACCTTTTTTCTAAGTTGGTCCCAATATGTTAAAACTGGGTACCAATTATACACACTTAACTAAATGGGTCCACTATATTCCCGAAACATTTCCTAATAGTCTTTCTATATTTTTCAAGAGTAAAATGTACTAGACTTTTCTGCCTCTACCACTCTTAACTACTATCTGATGTCAGCTGTTTTCCCTCATGGCTTGGTTCTTCCAGGCACAGTTCTTGCATCAAAATCACTTCTCTTGTGATCTGCATCCCTTCTTCTGTTACTACTAAGTCTGGAGAAATAAAACATCCAAACTAATTCCCTGTGGGGCTCTATAAGTAATGCAGTCTATGGTCTCTATTCTTAGGTGTAATGAGTAAATTATTTCATCAAGAACGAACTTGTTTAACTGTCAGTCAAAAAAACTGACAGACTATTTGGGAATGATAAATATAGTTCTTTGCTACTATTTGTTTTATTTGTTAAAAATAGAGCTTCAGGCTCGGCGCCTATAGCTCAACCGGCTAAGGCGCCAGCCACGTACACCTAAGGTGGCGGGTTCGAATCCCCAGCCCGGACCCGCCAAGCAACAATGACGGCTGCAACCAAAATATGGCCGGGCGTTGTGGCGGGCGCCTTTGGTCCCAGCTACTTGGGAGGCGGAGGCAGGAGACTCGCTTGAGCCCTGGAATTGGAGGTTGCTGTGAGCTGTAATGCCACGGCACTCTGCCCAGGGGGACAGCTTGAGGCTCTGTCTCAAAAAAAAAAAAAAAAAAAATAGAGCTTCAACAACATATGTCAAATATTGGTGTGACATAAAAACAAATAAGGTTCAGTCCTTGCCCTTGAGGAGGTCACAGTAAAGCAAAAGATTTAAAAAGAATACAAATGAGATGAATAATATAAAAAGTTTGCTTTAAAGCAAACCTAAAAGAACAGGTTTACCCGAGCAGGAGGTCATGCCTGTCTGATTCCAACTGCAGACTCAGAACATAATCACTGGAGGACTTTCATTATCTCTTATTTAAATACGAGTATTATCTTTACTTGAAAATTTAATTAAGTCTCTTTCACATCTTGGAATTATAATCTTGTGACTAAACTATTTTAACACCTATCTAGAAGAAACGAGGAAGTTAGGAAGTGGTATGATCAATTAACACACGTAGAGGTCCTACCACCCTGCTCAGCCTACGGGGAGAATTCGATACATATTTGCAGAATAAAGAACACTAAGGCAGCTCTTAACTGCGACTTCTCTGTTTCCCTACTTAGTAAGTAGCAAATTTTAGAATATCCAGGGCACCTTAGGGCACCTGCTCTTAGTCAACACCGAGCAGCAACATTCAATCGTTCACCACAAACGTGCACGTACATTCACAGCGCAAATGTGAATCTTGAACTGCTCTTCACAAGAACTGGCAACAGTTTGGGAAAATACATCCCACGGTATCCCACGTGTAGGTGAACTTGGGCTCAAGGTGGAGGCCAGCGACAGGACATACTAATCATGTCCATCCCTGGACGATTTCATCTTCTGAAATTGTTACAGCAATTCTCAGGTCACCCCCAGTGGCCTCAAAGCCAAACCTTTAACAAGGGATGGAACACAAGAAAGCTAATCTGATCCTGAGGTCAGAAGACAGGAGCAAGAGAAGTAGACAGCGCGGCAGACACGCGGGTGTGCAAGGCCGGGAGGGGCCGGGGAGGCGACTCGGAGGTCAACTCCAGCGGCCGGGTCTGGGCGCCCTGGAGGCGTGGTGACCGGCGGGCGAGCGCGGCGGGCGTCACCGGCCAGGCGGGTCCGCCGCAACCAGCGGGAACCCCGACGGGCTGGGTCGGGGTCTTCCACGGGCTCCTTACCCGTAGTAGCGGAAGGCATTAATGATCTTCCAGAAGTGCTCACGCTCGAGCCTCTCCTCCTCCTCCTCGGTGGTGCGCGCGGCCGCCACCACCGCCGAAACCGCCGCGGCCGAGCCCAAACGCCCGGTGGAGAACTGTACTTCCACCTCCTGGTTCCCACTGCGGCCGCCGCCGCCTCCCCCGCAGCCCTCGGGCAGCTGAGAGACCGGTGGCGGAGGGCGCCGCCGTCGCTGCATCGCCGCCGCGGCCCTCGGCCTGGCTCGCTTGCGTCTTGCCGCGATTGAAAGCGTGGTGGCGGCTGCTTGGCCTTCCTCTAGACGGCGCCCGCCGCGGACATGCACCCAGCTCGCGGCGCGCTCCGCCCCCGCCACCCTCAGGCCTCCATCCGCGCCGGGCTCCGCCAGGTCTTCAGGGCTCCGGGAAACCGTACGCATGCGTGTGCGAGTGTACGACGAAGGGCCCCGGCTGCCAGCGCTCATTTGCTGCCGGGCTTCGGGGACGGCGCGTGACGTCAGGACGGCGCTACCAGGGGCGGGGCCAGGGCCCTGGGTGAGGGGGGGAAGGAGGAACTCCTTGGAAGGGTGGGACTGGCGCAGCTGGCACCTGTGAGTGGCCGCGTGGGTGGGGCTTAGCCTGAGCGTGCAAGACTGTGGACCACGAGGTTGAATGTAGGCTAAGGCACTAGCAAGGGTGGGAAAAGCAGAAAGAAAAAGTTCATCTTTAATGAATTTCTTAGGAATTTTTATTTCAGAAAGTGTAAAAGGTAAGTTACATTTAATCCAACTTAAATGTTAGTTCACTTCCTAGTTGAATTTATATTTTAGTTACTGAGAAGGGCACTATCATTTTTCCAGTCTTTAGGGACTTGCAGAAGTCCTAATGCAGCTGTGAGTGATGATGACAGCAGATAAGGAATATGCAGGAACCTAACTCTATCCAGTATCTGTCCTTGGGAAGTCCATGACTCATGCCAGCATCTAAGGGTGGCTCTTTGCTATGCTGGACCTGACCTAACATCTTCTTCATCTACCTTTACCTTTTGCCTCGTTTTTCTTTGGGCTTAGAGCAAATGGCTGCCCTACCTGCACTTAACGTTATTTTTAGAAAATAGCTCATTCCATGCAATATAATCCACGGCCCAGCAAATCAGTCTTACAAAATAATGATAAAAGCGAAAGATTTCTCTTTGGTCTTGGCCACAGAAGCGAAATGATGAAGAGAACGTCATTGTTTGGAAAGCGTGGCAGTAAGACACATATGTTGTACCGCCGCTGTGGCTCTAAGGCCTATGGCCTTCAAAAGTCCACATGTGGCGCTTGTGGCTTCCCTACCAAGCGAAAGAGAAAGAATAGCTGAAGTGCCAACGCTAAAAGACAAAATACCGGGCCTGGTAGGGTGAGACCCCTACAAATTGTAAATTGCAGATTCAGTTTAGGATTCCTTGAAGGAACAACACCTAAACCCAAGAGCACCACTGTTGCCGCATCCAGTTCATCTAAAGAATTTCAACAATTAGGGCCAGGCACAGTGGCTTAGGCCTGTAATCCTAGCACTCTGGGAGGTCGAGGCAAATGGATTGTTTGAGTTTAGGAGAGCCAGACCAGCCTGAGCAAGAGCGAGACCCTATATCTAAAAATAGATGCCTGTAGTCCCAGCTACTTTGGAGACTGAGGCAAGATGATCATTTGAGCCCAAGAGTTTGAGGTTGCTGTGAGCTATGATGCCACTGCACTCTACCAAGGGCGACAAAGTGAGACTCTGTCTCAATAAAATTTTTTTTCATTAATTAGTCACGCAATAAATATTGTGGTTTTTAAAATTAAAAAAAGAAATCCTGGCTCTGTAGGTAATCCTAGCACTCTGTGAGGCTGAGGCAGGAGGATCCCTTGAGTTCAAGAGTTGAAGACCAGCCCCAGCAGGACCAAGACCCTATCACTACTAAAACAGAAAAATTAACTGGGCATTGTGGCAGGCACCTGTATTCCCAGCTACTTGGAAGGCTGAGGCAGGAGAATCATTTGAACCCAGGAGTTTGAGGTTGCTGTGAGGTAGGCTGATCCCATGGTACTCAAGTTTGGGGCATTAGAGTGAGACTCTGTTTGAAAAAAAAAAAAAAAAGAAAAACAAGGAAAGACTTTCATTTGAAAAAGTTAAATATGCCTAGGAAACCACAAGTCTGTTTATTTTTAATTTTAATTTTTTTCACAAAGTCTGTTTAAAAAGATCATTGAAAATGAAGTGACTGTATATTTTTGTAATTCAAATTAATAACTGAAATTATGGCAATGCCGAAAAATATCAGTTATTTTAGGAAGTGATGCAGGGCTCTGGCTAAATGATTGCCCTGCTCCAACCTTTCATGCTCTCCCTGCCCACAGGTAGTTGTGGCTACGTTGCTAGGAGGAAGGCAGCCGTGACCAGCAATGCCTGGGCAACCCTTGTGGGGGAACGTTATGGAGCTGGAATCACCCTTAGAGAAATCCAAGATACAGAGGAAGGAGAGGCAAAAGAGCTTCATGGATATCAGTATTTCAGAGAAGGGATTATGGATTTGTACTTTCCTCGTAGGACTGTTATGCAGATTTAATGAGATAAGCTGAAAACACAGTACACAAAGCTGGACTGACAGAAGGAAGTCAAGACACCATTATGACTTAGATGAGAAATCAGAAACCAGAGCAAATGTGTTGCAGATGACCTGGATGTTCCCAAGCTGCAAAAAGCTAAAATGAAAGAGAAGTTAAGTGGAGACACTGAAGAAGGATTTGATGGACTTCCTGATGAATCCTCTAAATTTCATAAGTCAAGAAGAAAAGATCTACCAAATGGAGATATTGATGAACATGAAAAAAAGTCAGAGTGGATATCATCCTTAGATCTATTTATAAATCAAGTGATAGGAAACTAGGGGAGACCCTAACACATGAACAGAAAGAAGCCTTCTTCAATTTCCCTATTTCGGAAGAGACTAAAAAGCTTCTGAGGGGCTGAGGGGTAACGTTAGCTCTTCTTATTCAAGTTAAGACCTTTGGTCTTGTATAGATGAAGAAAAGCGTTTAATAGCTCAAGCATGAACAAGAACAGAAAAGACATTCTCTTTTGCCATCCCTTGATTGATAGACTCCAAAGAAATCAGGAAACAGTTTTTAAAAAGCAACTCACCAAAGGTATTTGTTTTGATTGGAACAAGAGAACTGGAAAACTAAGTAACCAATGACCTCAAAGATACATGTAGGAAAATCAGTGTGGCTTTTGTGTGTGTGTGGGTGTGTGTGTGTGTGTGTGTGAGAGAGAGAGAGAGAGAGAGAGAGAGAGAGAGAAAGAAAGTCAAGCTGTTGCTCTGGGTAGAATGCCGTGGCATCATAGCTCACAGCAACCTCCAACTGGGGCTCAAGCAATCCTCTTACCTCCGTTTTTCTATTTTTAGTAGAGACGGGGTCTCACTCTTGCTCAGGCTGGTCTTGAACTCCTGAGCTCAAGCAATACACCCGCTTGGCCTCCCAGAGTGCTAGGATCACAGGTACGAGCCACTGAGCCTGGCTGTGTGTGGCATATTTTTATAGTGGAGCAACATGGGCAAAACCAAATCAATCATATTCAAAATAATACTGACATTTTGGTTGGGACCCCTGGTCATACCAAAGACCATCTGCCAAGTAGGTAGATTGGATGTTTTTAAACTACACCATGTTGTGCTTCATGTATAGGATCAAACGTTAGGTTTTGCTGAACAAGTTGAAGATATTATTCATGAATCCTACAAAGCTGATTCTGAAAACAATGCTCAGACTTTACTTTTTTTCCCAACTTGCCCACAGTGGGTATACGAAGTTGCAAAAAATAAAAAAATACAGGAACAGGTTGGTCTTGTTGGAAAAAGAAATTCAGAAGGCTGCGACTACTGTGGAACATTTGGCCATGCAGTGTTACTGGTCTCAGAGGCCAGTAATTATTAGAGATGTCCTTCATGTCTACAGTAAGTGGGCTGTTATTCTCTGTGAGACTAAGAAAAACATAACTGAAATGGCCATGAATCCACATGTAAAACAGCATGGCTAGCATTTGCACGAGAACACTGCACACTTCAAAAAAGGAGTTATGGCTCGGTGCCTGTGGCTCAAGCAGCTAAGGCGCCAGCCACATACACCTAAGGTGCCAGCCACATACACCTAAGGTGGCAGGTTCGAATCCAGCCCAGGCCTGCTAAACAACAATGATGGCTGCAACCAAAAAATAGCCGGGCATTGTGGTGGGCACCTATGGTCCCAGCTACTTGGGAGGCAAAGGCAGGAGACTTGCTTGAGCCCAGGAGTTGGAGGTTGCTGTGAGCTGTGATGCCACAGCACTCTACCAAGGGTGACAGCTTGAGGCTCTATCTCAAAAAAAAAAAAAAAAACAAAAACAAAAAAGGAGTTACACTGCAAGGCTTCAGAGAAGTTATTTTAAAGTTTTGGTGCCAACTAACATGGCTGCCTATGTTTTGGACATTCCTGGGGTTAACCGGGTGATTCAAACTTCTCTTCAGACTGTTAATTCCCACATCGATGGCTCTGTACACACAGGTAGAGCTGGCCAGCCAGGGCTTTGTAGATGTTTTTATCAACCCAGAGAAAGAGGTCAATGAGATATGTGGAACAAAAAACAGGAATTGTTGGGGCAGTGCCTGTGGCTCAAAG